GTTTCTCTTCTCTGATTTGAGTAGAAGAAAAAGAGTACATATACATAAAATAGAGCCAGGGATGACTCGTCCTGCCAGCTGTCATGGCCTACTTCTACGAGTATGTGAAGTGCAGATCGACGTAGACAGAGTACAGGCGGACGAGGAAGTCCATAAGAGTCTCCTTCATCTCTGCCGGGACATCCCTTAAGCAAGCAGACACAAACCCGGCGTGAGAGGGAAATGCCACAGCCCACAAACAACCCTTTGAGTAGGCTGACCGCATGCCACGACATCCAGCCAGATAAGCGGGTGGTACACGACCTAGCGAGGAAGTGATGGATATCAAGGCAAGCTCTGAAGGGAGCCATGGGAATGCCTTACCAATTGATGGCGCACCGAAAAGCAGTTAAAACGAGCTTCGGCGAGTCAAAGCTTAGTAAGCCATTGCGTGGCAATGTGGGTGAGCCTGCGCGAGTCGACGCTAATTTATTGCACTGCAGCTCGGGTCTAAAAACTGAGCATGAGTTGTGAAATACATGATACAGTATTGGAAAGCTCACCGATGATTAGAAATAGTCTATCCGTGATCCTCTCGGGCCAAATAGCAACTGAAGATTCCAAGACTCAAAGCACGTTTCTCCAAATGCCTCGCCACTGACAGGCCACTCAACAGAGTGCACTAATCATGTTGATAATAGGTCTATCAAGACAGCTACGGAGAGAGCCAGTTGAAGCAGTGTACGTCTGTTGGTGTGGTGGTTGAGGTAGAGGCAAGTCGACGCACGCGCGTGCACAGCGCGGCGCGGCACACTCGGCTTGGGTGTCGGGCCGGGGAGCATGAAGATCCAGAGGGATCCTCAACGTCATTTACATACCATGTCAAAGGTATCGAGACCGTGTTCGGCGATGACGCGGCACTTTCCCATGGCTGCTTCCAAACACTTCCAACTCGCAAAACCATCCACTCGCCGTCCTTAGATTGACACGCGTGCTTGGTGCTCTATTTCCACATCATAAGCTAGAACATCTAATCATCATCTACATCGTCTTCTTCTTTCCACTCTTGCGATGAGACCAACGTAACCCAGTGCTGCTGTCTTTGTTGCGAGGAGCCTGGCCATGGCGACGCAATGCAATTTGCATCTGTTGCACAGGCTGTGGTGTGTGTCAGGGCTGCCTGCGCTTCAATACAACCAGTTGAACATACCAATGCCTCTCGAGCCCAGCGCAATACTGTAGGAACTTGATCGGTTCGTACACGGGGTGTTACCATTACATGGGTGGACAAACCTGAGGTCTCGTACATTATAGTCTGTTACCATTACAAGTTGTTACATTTCGGACACATGTCATCTCAGCAATGAGTGGCGCTGTACCTGTGCTGTGCAGAAGCCTAATTATCTGTTGCATCATTCCCTAGGAGCCTAAACTTTGATGAACGAACTATGCAACGAGAGCAAGGCCCGAATGGCAGAACTGGCCGCGTTTTGTTGTCAACATTCGTCTTGACAATGGCTACCACAGCCGACCAATCTCCCACAATACCTCTTGAGCTCCATGCAAGGCTGTTGCCCTCGCCAGACCTTTCAATATTGCAACTACTGCAGTTCAGCCAGCCCATTGTGAACCCAACACCATGCTCGGCAGAGCCGACTGTGTTCTACAGCCGTACCGAGCCTACGCAGTTCTCTGTTGAGTTCTATGTCAAGACCCCGACACCTAGTTGTGCTGTGGTTCAATCACTGGTGGACATTCTACCTGCTATTGCACGTGCAGGCCACAAGTCCATATAGCCACTGCATCTCAATAGCACCCATCTGTGACACCTCCCCATTTGGGTCCCTCTCTATTGGCAACACGTCATCAACCTCCAGTCTACGTACTCTAGATGGGCAGTCGTGACACATAAACTAGAGGATGCTAGAGCAGTCTGGTCAAAGGACCAGAACCTTACACAACTCTACAACACCATCGAGGACACCTTTAATTGTCCCGCCTCTATACGATGGTCCGACGAGCTTTAGGGCTTCAGCAATGCAATTCCTTTGCATGATGTTAGCGCATTTGCTCTTCCAAAGAAATGGCTCTCGACTACCCAGGAGAACACCTTGCTTGATCTCATACGTGGAGACGTGTTGGCAAGCAAGCATCGCGGTGACATTAAGGTCGAGAACATGGACTTCTTCACTAAGCTGGCCACCGTGTACGAGCAACAGGTGCACTGTGCATATTCATTCCCTCATGCTCAGGACACCATCCTCATATCTACATGCCACAGACCCCTATCATACCCATCGCTACGTCGCACATCAGCATGGTGTGGGCGAATCTCTGGCCAAGGGAGAGCACAAGGCTGTCTGTACAATTGTGCACATTGGCGGGAATCACTGGGTTGCAGTGGTCGTTGACTTTGCAACACGTACAGTGCTCTACGGCAATTCAATGGGAAAGGCCATGCCAGAGGAATTGCAACGCGTCGTCTTCTGGTGGATCTCCAAGCACTCGCCAGACCCATTCAAACTCGATGATCTCCCCATCACGCATCAAGAAGATGGTCACAGCTGTGGCCTACTTGCGTATAACGCAGTTGGTCACTGGTGTCTCCCTCAATTGCCAAAGTACAGTCTTATGAACGCATCCAACATGTACAAAGCTGCTCATGACCTTTGGCCGCATCCTCGATAAACATTCGATTTGTGTATGCAATCAGGGCTCTACAACTCATGCCACTATGCTGATCTCACTAAACAGGTGGCAAACAATGATTCTGACAGTGACAAGAACTTAGATCTCGCCTGCGGATTCCTGTTCACGTTTAGATGTTCGTCCGGGACACACACGAGCGATGGCAAGGTCTCATGGCCACCATCTTCGCCACCGACTCCATCTTCACCACTTGCCACATCAACAACCACACACCTGTCCAACACGGAGCTTGGCCTGAGTCTAGAATCTGATGAGGAGATGGAAATTGATCAGTGGGGAGGCGACTCAGAGGATGAGAGTGCACACCTTGCTCGCTCAGAGGCACCCTTAAGCCCTGAGCAGACTTCGCCCCAACACTCGCCCAATCCTGCCATGCAACCTTTAGCACCTTCCAGCTTGAAACCAAGAGCCACGAACACTATGAAGGGTCTACAAAGAGGTGTTACTGGTGCCCTGTTCGCATTTGGGTTCCACAAGGCAACCGAGGAAGAGCTTGCCGAGCAGCGAGCGCGAGTTGCAGAGCAAGTGCACGAGGCCAGAACAGCACTCGAGGCTCGGACAGCAGCAGAGGCTGAGGCGAAGACGGAGAAGCATCGTCAGGTGAACCGCGAGCATGTCAGAAAGCACCGTGACCGTAAGAGACAAGGCGAGATGAAAAACGGCACACGCAATGCAACCACAAGGTGTAAGATCAACCCGAAGAAGTGTTCAATTACTGAGGTGAGCACACACGCTCTCACAACCCGCCACATTCTGATTGTGCTGTAGACCAATCTCACAGTCAACGACCTTCGCGATGAAAGTCCGCCTAAAGAACAGAAGAAGGCCGAGATTGCTGAGCTGTCCCGGCCCGAATGTCATACAAAGGCCCGCATCCTGAAAAAATTGAAGTCGAATGTCGGCCCAAAGCCTCAAAGGGAAGTGAAGGGAGCCATCTACGTGAACTGGCACACACCATTCCTGTGGCGCCAGATTGAGGCTGCACGGAAGGTTGCTGGTTGGAGCTCTCGTGGCATTCAGAAGGAGCTGGTCCGGCCAAATGCTGACATCTTTGGCTGCATATCGCACAACTCAATCCAGGCATGGTTCGACCTGTCAAACCCACTAGCACCAAAATGGTCTGAGAGCTGTATTGAAATGAACAAGCTTGGGAACCATCAGGCTGAGGGTAACAAGGGGGGATGTCGTGGTGTCCTTGTACGCAATTTTCTCGAATGATTTTACATTTCCATAGCTGAACCACTGACAGTCTGCGTATCCTGAGGTCACGACATTTGTTAACAGTTGGCTTCAGTCTCTTCACGCAGAGGGTGCACCAATCAGCTTGGTCACCGTGCGCGGGATCATAGTGGCTTCCATTCTTCATATGACATCTGAGATCTTCTAGAAGAAGTTCTCTGATGGTTTGTGCTTCCGTGCATCAGACAACTTCCTGTGCACGTACCTATGAGAGCAGCTTGACTGGTCTGAACGTCATGGCACTTGTGCCGCCCCAAAGGTTCCCAACGACTGGGAGGATCAGTGCAATCGCACTCGCCTTCGTCTTGCCCACTGTGTCAAAGAATGGGATGTGCCCTCGGAACTCATCTTGAACACCGATCAGACTCAGGGTGTCTTTACACAGGGCACAAAGCTAACCTGGGCACCGAAAGGCACCAGTCAGGTCGCAATCGTGGGGAGCGAGGAAAAGCGCGCATTTACTGTGGTCGTCACGGTCACAAACAGTGGCAAACTTCTTTCTTTCCAGGCTGTCTATACAGGTTCCCAGGATAAAGTTGTGTGCGTAACATGAGCCCTTTCAAGCAACAGCACTTTACTTATGACAGTGCAGCCTCCCCAAGTCAACCAGTCCTCTGTACAACGAGGCACAGAAGATCGGCATCAATTTTAAGCCCTCAAAGAATGGCACCTACTGGTCTACTCACGAAACCATGCATGCCCTCGTGGACAAACAGATTGTGCTGTATCGGTGGCACATCATCGAAGAACAGGGTCTTCCCGAGTCCCAGAAACTGATCTGGCTGATTGACGTCTGGTCGGTCCATCGCTCGAAAGAGTTCCGCAAGTGGATGCATGACCACCATCCCAAGATCATCATTCTCTACGTCCCTGCCGGTTGTACAGGCTTATTCCAGCCTTGTGATGTGCGCATACAACGGCTTTTGAAACACATCTGGAAGTGTGTGTTCCACGAGCAGATCGTCACGGAGTCTCTGCATCAGCTCAATGCTGGCGAGCCTGTCAAGATGCCGACAGCTGTCGCAGCTATGCAGAATCAAACAGTTTTGTGGCTGGTGCATGCTTACGAGGGACTGAACAAGTCAGAGATTGTGAAGAAGGTACACCTGAAATGAAGCATCCCTCAGCTCTCTCGAATTGAAACATTTTCAGGCCTGGTCGATGTGTCGCGCAAAGGCGCGGACCTCTCTTTTGAGTCGCTCACAAGCCGCACAACTCGTGCCGAGCTCAATTCTCTCAAAGCCAATGATCCTTCTTTCTACGCGGAGCTCACTAGCACACGCAGGGCTGCCGAATCGTCCATGCGTGCAGATGGTAGTTTCATCGAGGACGAGGAACCCGACAATCTTGAGGATGACAGTGATGTCTCCTTGTCTGCCGTCATCAGGGCCGTTGAGAACGCGGATAGCATTGTGGGTGGCATCCAAGTTGGTAACGATGGTGGACTGAGCTGTGCTGCATTGGCCGAAGACCCGTCTGCAATCCTGGATTGCGATGCCGTGGTGGCGGAAAACGATTGTCTAAGCCCTTCCCCCGAGTTGCCAGTACGTCTCACTACTGCCCAAGAGAGTTGAACACAGCCCTCGGGTAGTGCTGCATTAAAGAAGGCGGGGTTCTATGCCACCGAGCAGTTTGAGTGGTCTTGCTGATGTTTGACCACTTACGGCGACGAGCACTTGTGGCCATTTCCTCGCAGCTATTTGTCCCTCTACCCTAATTGACTAGTACCCTCCCATTTTCAATATACATACAGCTTATATAGTTTCTCGTCGTAAAATCTTATTAAATACGCTAATTTAATAATATAAATATGAATTTCCTGAGGATTCGTCCAAACCGGTCCATTACCATTACAGTGGACAAAAATTGGGCCGCGTTATAGATTACTGTACGAACCAATTGAGTTTCTACAGTATAGCGGGAGATATATCCTGCAAGATGTCAGTCATAGAGTACAGAAGTGACTGCGAATCGGCGAGACACACGCCGCATCAATGTTCTCCAAGTTATTGGCCAGGGCCGCATAAGTGTCCGTCAAAACGCCTCATGGCTGCATGAACATGTGGGTCTGGCCGTTGTGCATGTGCATCACCCAGTTGGGTGGCTCACCGTTGCCTGCCCAGCGAGCGAGGATCACGCGTGGGCTTTCCTACAGGCCAGCTCGGATGCCCGAGTCTCCGCCGAGGATAACCTGGATCTTCAGAAGCCAGAACGAGTCCGTTTCAGGCTTGTCGTACAACTAAGTTGCATATGAGTCCAATGCGCTTGTGTTTATCAAGCGACGTAGTTACCCGATGAAATATCCTCATGACCTTGCACGTCGCGAGTTGCCCATGAAGCCCCGCATTCATCACTCGCGGGTCAGGTGTAAGCCACAAGCATCAGTTGGCATCGAGCCACCTGTCAATAGCCGTGGGCATGGCAAGACTGCGATGTCGCAGGGGCAGACACTCTCCAGCAAGTGTGGGTGGATTATACGGGTTGGGCGGCCCGAAAGCACGAGATGGCGGTGCAGAGTTCTCGTTGTCATCAGAAGAATTGTCATTGGGTGGGTACGTGCAATCATGCTGCAGCTGTAGATAGCAGAAAGTAGCGCGTAACGTGTTATGAGCATCCTCCGTGGGATCGG